TTTCTTGTTATTTTTATTTATTTATGGAAATGAATGTGTGTTTTATCTTCTATAAATGTTAACAGATATTCCCAGTGGCTGGGGAGCTCTTGAACTACCTGAGGAACTCCATAATGTATAATCTAATTTCATTAACTTGTAGCACAATATTTATTAACTTTATAGAAATAGTAATACCTCCTGACCCCACAAAAGAATAAGCTTTACAAGTTCTGATAGTCTCATTAAAACTGTTTTCTCCTCCTCAATTTCTATACTGGAAAAAAAAATCCCTCTTAATGACTGATTAGTGTGCTGTGTAAAGAAAGTTGCGTTGCTTTTTCTTCTGTAAATGAAATCATAAATCAGACTAGTGAACAAGTGGGTCTATGTATGCATAGTTGCAATATTCTAACTAATCACTGTGACGGACTGGATTGTCTAGAAAGTTAGGAGAAAATAAGAATTAATTCCCTGAGTCACTTGCCAAAAGAGCATTAAATTTCCAAAAGTAGAGTGGTGTGGTGTTTTTTTCAGACTCCATGTATGTAAAAAAGCCCCACAGCCCATATTTTCAAATAACCTATAGAGAAGTGAAAAATACTACTTTTAATCAACTACCTATCCAGTGAGAATACTAAGAATGCTCTGAAAGTATTAAGTGTGTATATGAGAATGTGAAGTCTGCTTGTCCATTATGATTTCATAAAGAAGGGATTTCAGTGGAGCTCTTTTGAGTAGTTTTGAAGAATTTCAGCTCAGAATGTGAGATTTTTTTGTGTTATGGGGAGTTGAAAAAATAACTCCTTTGGGGCATCGAGTTGATGGGTTTTATAAGTATGCATACATGTTCTATTTAAATACATACATGAGGTTAAGTGTTTACTTGCAGGGGAAATGGGCAGGGAATTATGATGTTTCAGGCTAGCAGAACCAAATGGAAAAATTGAGGAGATAGGTCTTTTGTAGTGTTTGGTGAGAGCATAGTATTTTGTCTCTTGCACAGAGGGGTTTTGCATAAGGATTTGAGAATGTCCTGCTGTGGGCTAGGTATGTTTATACAACAGTTGAATTAATGTTTTTAGTAGTTTAATATTAAAGAATACTGAATACACTGTGTCAAATTTAAGTAAAAGATAATGTAGTTGCAAAAACAGGGGATGAAAGACAGGGGGTGAAGAGCTTTGACATTTGAATGCCATGATTTCAGTACATCACAAGTATTAGCTAATCTTCACAAATCTTTGGGACAGGTTTAAATGTGGATAGTTCTTGGGCTCTCAAACTTGAGGCTAGTTTGTGCTCAGCATGAAGCAGCAGAAGCAGAAAGAAGAGGGGGACAGATGAGCTCTGAGCTGCTTCATGCTCTACACAGAATGGCAATAGCCCTTGCCTGTTTATCGCTTACCTGGTGCTTGAGGATGGGAGGTGTACACCATCACATGCTTAGCATTCTTGCCGGAGGCCTCTAGAAAGACCCCCATAGGTTTTTGAAGGTCTGCACTTTGCTTTAGATAAAACTGGCTTTAAATAAAAGATACAGCTCATGTGAGCATTACTTGGTATGTTGTTTCTTTCGATTTTAACTTATTTGTATAAGTCTCCTTAAAAGTAGAAAATAAGTTTTCTGATCAGCCCTCTAGATTGGTTGAATTGCAGTCTGCTATGCAGTGCACTGTGAATTAGTGAACTCGCTTTCATAATTTGATTTCCTCAACTCAATAAAGCTTAGGATCACCTTTTGTTTTTCATGTGGTATTGGTGAAATAAGATTCTCTTTTGGTTTTGATCCAAGATTTATTTAAGTATAAAAAGTAAAGCTGTGAGATGAGAGAATTATGATTAGGAACTCAGAACAAACAATTCTCAAGTAACAGTTGTTTCCTAACACTATGTTTGTCAAGATCAACTTGGTGGTGTTTTCTTACTTTTAATTTTTGGAACAATCCTAATGATAGTTATCAAAGTTTAAGATATGCGTACCTTTGAAGCTGAGTAAATAAGTAGGAGTGTAAATATATATATCTAAATAAACATGAAAACTATCTCTTCATACCTGTATATGAATGAGATCAGGTAGTTAGCAGTATTGAGTAACTTCTCTGTAGCAGTTTTGAACTTGCATACCAAATGATGATATTTAAAGACCTCTCTCCTTTACTTCAAGTGAAATGTTTGTTAAATTTCTCTTTCTCAATTTACTTATATTTTTTATAGTATTTTTAGTTGTCTCTTTATAGGGAAGAATCTCATCTGGTCTGCAGTTTTAGTACAATACAAGCATTCAGAAAGTGAAATGTTTGATATTCAAGTTAGCATCTGACTTATGCAAATTATTCTATATCAATATACTTGTTACCTAATACTCTCTAATAGGATATCTAGAAACCATGTCTTCTATCATCCGTGTGGTTTACTGACACAAAATAATAATCCCAATTTTAAACTAACCGCACTTCTTATAATGGTTAATACTCATTGTGGAGATTAGGTTTTAGAAAACCTGTTTGATTTTAAAAAGAAAAAAGAAAAAAAAAAAAAACAAACCAAACAATAACACCCTTACACACACATTAGAATTGTTTTGGTAATCTACAATATTGATACAAACAAGCTTCGTTCCCTTGGTATACCTTAGATCATTAATATTATCTCAAAACAGGTTCATCAAAGTCTTTCCAGGCTTTAAATAGTCTAGTCAATTGGCCACTTTATAAGGATCCTCTTTAAAGTTGTGTTTCTGTGTCTTTTAAATGAAGTGCTAAGAACTAAGTTTCTACACTTAGTAAAAAACCTGTATGAGACTGGTAACAGTCCTACATCAGTCTTCTTTTAAGATAATCCTGCAGGAATTAAAGTTATTTTTATTTGTAATGCACAATAATTAGGTAGGTCTTCTAACTCTTGCCTTAGTTGATGGGAGCTATATACCTCACTTCCCTAGACCATGTCTCCCTCCTCCCTGTTTCCTCTGCAAGTCTTTCCCAATCTCAATTAACAAAATAATTAGAAAATACATGTGCATATGTGTATTTAGTTGAAAATGTATATCTATATACAGATTATGGTATGGTAGGGAGGTTTAGAGATAGGGAGTAGAGAGGGCATCAGCCTCCTACTTGTACCTTTGAGAGTCTGTGTAGACACTTGCTCTGTATTGTCACCTGAAGGCACTCTTCCACTGTTAAAGGCACATTGCTGGCTAGGTTAGATGCTGAGGCTAGGTGCTGTGAATATTTAAATTGTTTTCCTTTCAAAAAAAATAAAAGCACATATAAATGCATATCATAATGTCAACCTAAGGCCTGATGTAATAAATACTGTTAGATGAAAGCACTACATAGGTTTATGTTTAATTGAGTGCAAATTCAAGCATGTGCTTCGGTGCTTACCAGAATGGGCTTTTCATGCTTTTTGATTTTAAAGGTATGTCGGTTTCAACTGTAAACATGACACTTGTTAGTCTCCTTTTGGGGAGAGTAACAGTTTTTGTGCAGTCATATGCATGTGGGTTCATTGTATACCAATGTTAGACTCAACTGAAGTGTTTGGAAGATGTCTTTCCTTCCATCCCAAGGAACCAAATTCTCCTTGTTCTTGCTAATTGCCCTTGCTAGCATATATTTTTAAAGGAAGCAAGGGTTTTATGAAAAGCTACTGCAGGTAAAACAAAACAGTTGGTAAAATAATATTGTCCCCTTCTTCACTATTAGAGTCATCAGATGCCTGAATGCAGAAATGCCTCTGAGTGGCAGCATAGCATGCTTTGTACAGTTTGAGTCAAGTGCTGTTCATCCTACTGCAATCTTGGAACACTCCATATGTGAGGAACTGCTTGTAGTGTTTAATCAAAAATACCTTTTGTTTGGTTTTAATTCAGCTCTTTGCTGTGCATCTGAGAGAACTGGTATGGCTTTCTTTTGATTACCATTTACCCAAATGGCCCAGATAAAATAGGCGTTTCACTTCTTTTCTTCAGGAGAATACCTCCAGTTGTGTGTTCTTTCTGTTTTCATCTACTGGACTTGGGAAATTTGGCAAGTATTTCCAAAGCTCAGGTCTGTGATTATACTAGGTACAGACACAATTTTATAACACATCTTCTGTCCCAGAAGCATGATTGTCAGTATAGATTATGGTTTAAAGCTGCTAAGGTGTTTTGAGATTAAAATATAAAACATCCAGCTATATATATCATAGATCTAACTGAACTTAGAGGCCACTTGTTTATTTAGCTTCCTATCTAGTCAGTATTTTCCTCTTGAGGGAGCCATATTTTTCTGCCTTGAAGTAACTTTTTAAAATAAACTTGCACCTGACAGTACTGCTTTAGTCATACACAGCTGTTAGTTGTTGCTTAAAGAAAGCCACGAGGGAAAAAAAATTAAAGGAAAACTTGCAATACATGTTCTGATTCAACCCTTCACTATGCAGGAGCATCTTAATATAAGATTAGATAAATGCTGCTTGTAAGACTTACCTCCCTTTGGTCAGTGTTTTGATGGAAGCTATGATGCTGTTCAGTTTGCTTGATAAATTTTTACTAAAGCTAATGAGGTAGTGGAAGCAAAGGCCTTACAGCAACAGTTAACCGTATCTTCTGATAATTCTTACAGATTGTGCAAATATGTGATTACAAATGGGTTTTTAAATGCCAAAAAATGCCTTTTTTTAAAGAATTAAATGTTAGGTCTGAGGAGTGTTGGAAATACCTACTTTCAAAAATGACCCTTCAAGCACTGTAATGAACTTGCTGTCAGTCTTCTGTGCAATATCTTTTTCCCTTCCGGGTGCTTTAAGAGTATACTGTATGTCTTATTTTGTTTTGATCAGTATGTTTTAAGAGTGTGTATATTAGCTAATGATGGATTTTTTTCTGTATAGCATGGTGGAAGATGTTTTAAAATTTTGCACTTTTCTAGGATTTGCAAGTTTGTAACCTGACACTTTTTAACATGCACACTTTTGTATATAATTAGCATTGTATATATTTAACATGAGTCTGAAGCAAATAAAAGTAATTGAATGCATAAATTCTCCCTTTATTAATAGTGCAAAAATGAAACTGAGTACACTAATTGAACAATTATTTCATTTAGCAGGCAAAGCTAGGCAGCAGGAACAGCTGACTTGGTGTCCTGTCTTAACTGTGTTAAAGTAACTTTTTTTTTTTTTTTTTTGGGTGGGGAAGGAATCAAAGTGGATGCATGAACGTACAGACCCTTTCAGACTAAGAATAGCTATGATTACTCAAGTATTGCAATAAAAATTGATTTTACTGGAAAGGGGAGATGTCTGAGACACAAATTAGGGTAGCGAAAAGAGGCCACTAATACTTATTTATCTTTGTAAATAAAGACAAGGTTCTCCACCCACCCTGAGACTAGAAGCATCTATTTCATTCCTCTTCGTTGTCTTCTCATATAGTGAATTTTGCTGCAGAATATATGCAAGGCTACAGATTCTGGAGATTACTGTCAATCAGGAGGAAACTGAAATCTGTTCCAGGCTCATGTTCAGTTGGTTTTTTGCCCCTGTAAACAAGACAAACCATGCGGTGAGCTTTAACGGGAGCTAGGACTAGTGTACTTCCATCTGTTACTAGGGATAGAACAAGGCATCCTTATTCATAACACGCAGAGTTTTGACTCCCTTCCTTGCCTGCATCACGGGACATATATATTAGATTACTTAGTAATGTTCATATGACTAAAGACATGTGTTCCCTTGTACTAGAGTTCAATGCATTAGGGCCAAACTGGCATTCCCCTGGCCTTCACTACTGGGGCTCTTTCCGTGAACATCATTTGGAAACACAACCATCAATGAATGTAATGCCATTGCGCTTGCTGGGTAAGTCAGACATCCTTTAGAGTGCTGTCATAGTGCCTGCTCCTTCGGAGCATAAAGCAATACTCATGTTTTTCCCCAAAGAGAAACAGAAGCAAGGGTTAAGCAAGTTAAGTGACTTCTCATGTGGGGGACAGGCAGCGTGTGCCAGGGGTCTAATAGAAGTCTCTCTTCCTTTCCATTGGAAGGAGGATATCAATGCAAATGAAGCATTTACCTCAAAAACAGACGTGCTCCTGTCACTCCTTGCAAGGTGGCTTTGTCTCCTTCCACTAGCAGCATCGCACCTTCCCGCAAGCCCTAATGTTGGTAGAAACATTTAACATTATTTTCAAGCTATTTGAAAGGCTAGAGTGCTTGTCACAAGCAGGCTGGTCTTAGTGCAGCTTGCCTTGACTACAGACAAGATTTTTTTTGTGCACCTATTTCTAACAAAAATGCCAAGACAAAATTAGGTGAGTTATCTTGTTTTAGAAACTGGTTTTCTTGTTTATTTTTCACTTTTAAAGGAAAAACCATTAAGGAAAAAAGGAGAGTGTGTTTTTTCCACAATTACTTCTGCTACCACCATTCTTGTATCCAGTTTGGGCCACAAAACAGCCAGCTTGGTTTGTTAGAGCACAGACTTTATGGTCTAGGCTCAAGCACAAAGATGGGAAACACAGAGGTCCCACTTCCCCAGACAGACACGCTGTAATTACAAACATACTAGTGAATGGGCATATTCAGAAACCTACAGAGATTAAAACAAAGTGTAAAGTTAAGAATACCTGAAAAAAGATTAAAGGAAGTATCTTACCATCTATAAGCACACCACCCCCAACATGCAACATCTGATTGGTGGCCAGTGACTGGAAAGATTAGAGCTGTTTAAAAGACAATTTGGCAACAGGACGCCAAGCATCTAATAGGCGGAATGCATTTCATTAGTTCTAACCCATTTTCTGCAAATGAGCATGCCACAGCTCTGTAAGGCTTATCAGGCAGGGGAACCGACACTGAAAGCTAGCAAGAATGCATTTAAAATGTTTACCATGCTACAGCCATAAGCTTCCTGATTGGGAACTAGTACTCACCAGAACTGGAGGGGTGTTTGGTTCTTCGTGATATTGGCGAATTCTTTCCTCTCTGGTCTCCTGCAATAATGAGTGTAGATTCAGCTGCCCAGGCAGTAAGGTAGGACTTGGAGCTATCCAAGTAGCATGACATCAAGAAATTTCATAACATTAAATAAAGGAAGCACTTCCCCTCAAGCAGAATACAGTGGCAGGATTGACTTTAACAGATAATATATTTTATCTTTCATCACTAGCAGCAATTGCTGCAGGTTGATCGAATAGCATTTGCACAATCCCAAGCCTGAAAAGCCTTAAAACTTACTTCTACTTCATCCAGCGCTTTTTTTTTTTTTTTTTTTTTTTTTTTTTTAATTAAAAATGCTCTCTCTGTGTGCTCACCCTCACAACAAGAGCACTGAGAAAGGTAGTGGAAGCAGATGCCTGAGATGCCACCTTCATAAAAGAGGGTAGTGAAACATGGGTCTCCACTGATTAAATATGTGCTTGTTTGTCCTCAAGCAGGTATTGCAGTGAAGAATTTCCTTCTGTGAACAGCTCTGCTATGCTTCCTGAGGGTTTGCTGCTGAACTGAGCAACAGTAGTTAAAGAACTCAAACCAGAAGGATTTGTTGGTAAGGAAACACAGGAACACAGCAGGGACTTGGTACAGCACAGAGGTACAGCCTCCTCGGAAAAACAGCACAAGTTATTTAAGACTGCCTGCTTATCTAGTAACAAACTGATTAAATGAGTACCTAAAATTTTGTCTTAATTCTATGAAGCATACCCTTACCTTCCATCTCTCCATTGTCCCCTAATTCTTAATACTTCTTCTGACCATGAAGAAATTTTGATTACAAGGAAGAAAGTATTTGGGCTGTTAAAAGATGCACTACAGAAATTGTTCCCTGAGTAATTAGCTCCCAACAGGCTATTTGAGAATCAGCTCTTCCATACAGTGGAGATGTCAGTCTTTGTGCTTGATGGATAAAGTGTTTTTCTTTCAGCTGTATTAGTACATGTGTTTGCTCAGTACTGGACATTACAGGGTCTGTTCTCTGTGAGGACACTAGCACCAAGGTATTTTCTTACACAACACGATTGCATGCAGTCTCAAGATCTCCCTGTTGTGATGGTTCCTTCAGACATTTAGATATTTGAGCCTCTTAATGTATGTGTGTTAGGTCTTCTCAAGCAGCAAGCAAGACAGACTGTGGCAGGACTTTCCAGAAACACAGTGCATTGCATCTTAACATTTCAAGTTTATCTCTCCCACCCCCACCCCCTGCCCCAATTCCATGCCAGGTATGAAGCAACAGTGTTTCAGACATTGCAGAGCTTCTATTTGTGAAAAACACTTTGTTCCACCTCAGTAATGCCTTTGCCAACTCCTCTTCCCACTCAAAGAAAAGCTTTAGGAGGAAGAAAAATGTTACTGCCTCACTGGCATTTCCACTTGCTCTAGGGAGCAGCTGTTAGACATTCTATAGCTTTGTACTCCTCACGTATGCACACTCTCGTTACACCTCTGCACACTGGTTACTGTGTTAGCTCTGGCATGCTTTACTTACGCCCATGTGAGTGCTTTTAACATCTGGGTCCAGGTAGTGGGGGTTAATGTTAAAAGGAACTAAACCTAGAGCCTGCAGGGAAGGTGGATAAACAATTGGCATGTCATTGGTAGTATTGATGCTGATGGTCGCCACGTTAGTTCCTGCACTGGATCCCATGTAAGGAATCCCATCCTGAAAGACAAAAGCAATGATTAGTATGCAGTATCACAACTAGGAACTGCATTTTATAACGTCTATCAATCTCAGAGGCTCAGTGATCAGATCAGACTTGGCCCTTCTAGCTCATCTCACTGCTAACTTTACAGGTGGAAAGCAGAACAACAGTAATTCGGGTTTTAAGGTGAGCAGTAGTTTGTATATGTCATGGTTGTCAGAGAACTAGCTGTTGAATGTCCTCTACTCACAACTCTGTGACCCTGTCACAAGAGGGAACTTACAAGGTTGTCAGTGCATATATTGGACTTTACAATTAAGAGAGGAGAGACTTGTCTGCATTGCAGTTATAGGAAGTACCTGAACTAGCTTCTGAAGAGAGCAGAGCATCTGAAACGGAGTGCCATGTTGCCACTGCATCAGCTTGCCAGTACCGTGACCATCCAGTTCAGCACTAGTTTAAGTATTACTACCATGTATATAGTACTATATACTATACTGTACATGGAAGGACTCCCCACAAACGTTCAAGTATATGGATAATGCTGAACAATTTGTAAAAATACGCTATCTTGAGAGAGCTGGTGCTAATATAACCGAATAGTTATCTAGACTTCAGTGGGACTCAAACATTTCTGGCTTTTTTCCCCCCCCACACGCATTGAATTTCGGTGTGTTAAGACAGCCTAGCTAACCTTTCTTCTTGGCAGCCCGCCTTTTCAAACATACTGTGCATGCCTCAGTCTGCCTGAAGTTGTTTGCAGTTCTACATTGCTAGCAGAACACCTTGCTTCTGCTCTGCTCCATGGATGGCATATCTTTGCTGTGCCTTACAAGATTCACCAGCCAGAATGGGACTGCTGACTGGAAGGGCCTAATGGCATTTGTACCTCTCAATTCCAGGCCAAGGATGTACTCAAGGTAATTACACCATTTTCAATGTCAACAGGACATTGTCTAAAAGGCATATATGGATCCAACTCTATCATCAGTTTATTAGCAGACAACCTGCAATTTGTCTACTTTATATCTTGTTAATAGATACAATATGTTCATCTCAAGCTGAAAAACAGGGTTTCTGGACAGATTAAATCCCGCACCATTCTTCATTGGTATTTTAAGTTAAGGGGCTCACTTCTAAGGTACTATGCAGCATTGTGCATCTCAAGGTCTTGCAGTCCCAGATCTGTGAAACTGCCCTAGAAAGACAGGCTGCTGACCTTAGACTTTTCAGGCTTCAGTGACTAATGACAGCCTTATTTGGCCACAGATTTCAGTTCACCCGGTTGTATGAGATGGCTTAAGATTTGAAGTAAATTAGAAACAAAGACGTAGAATCAAGTTGGATTTGTCTGAACAAAAGCTTACGCACGACATCCTGCCATTCAGACCTGGCTTGAGTCCTGTAGTTTTTACCTCAAGAACTCGCTTCCTGATCTCCTGTATCAGACTGTTGTCGTAGAGAGCTTTCAGGAGACGGAATGTGTTCCCACCTCCTGCAGAAAGAGAGACCAGCTTATATAACGTGCTTTCACCAGCAGTTTTAATTGAAGCCTTTACAAACTTGGCAGGTTCAGTGATTTCTACGCTCTATTCAGGGTAGTATCCTGCTTTGAGCAGCAGTAAAATTAGAATGATCATTGGGCAGGCCATGGGGTCATGCCCAGAGAGAGTCCTTCCTGTAACACTGACACTGGCTGTTTGACAGCAGACACTGTTCTGATGCCCAGGAGCGTGGTATTAGGACTACGCTCAGTTTCAGCACAGTAGCCCTGAATCTTCTTAGACCTGATAAAGTGATAATATAGCTGTGATGATCATGTTTTTAGCAGTGAAGTACTGTTCAAATTAATAATTTGAAATACTGAATAATGAAACTTACTAGAGATGAAGTTCCATTAATAAATTTCTCCTACTTCCCTCCCCACCACTACATTTAGGGTCTTACTGTTCCCAATTAAAGTACTGTTTTCTGTAGTTTCTAATAATTGCTAGGCCCGACTTTTTCATTGTTGTATCTACAGTGCCAGCTCTGAGCAGGACTAATCCAGTGCCCTATATAAGCCCTCCCAGGGAGCAAGAAGTAAAACTTACCGATAAATATTGCTTCAGATTTCCTTACAGCCTCTACTGGATCACAAGATTCATGAATGCTGTCCAGCCCATAACCTTCAATGAAAAAGTATTTACCTTTGCCACTTCAGTTTGGTGGAAGGATGCAGTATGTTCAACCCCTGCCTGCCCGCTGCCCTGACCCCAAGCCACATGTCTCAACAGACAACCAGGAAAATTTCAGAGAACTCTACAACACAGAACAGAGTATATGTCCTACATTAGTGCAGGGCTCCTGCATCCAGCTGTACCAAAGGAAATGTTTGCTTTATGGATATACATGCTCAGTGTCTAAGAGCAGAGCATTTCACTCAGCAGGTGCAGGCTGAGGCACAAAGTGCTGCTGAGCGTTACTGGCTAACCAGAAAATAAGAGAAGTGAAAAAGCTGTCAGTCTTCAGCTTGGCTGTGAGCCTGAAGAGGATCTGCCATCATTGGTCTAGCATTACTAGTGCAAATATCTGATCTGAGTATTTTTTTCTGTGATGGTTAAAATGTCTGGCTTTAACAGATGTGCCTTTCTGGGCTTCACTGAGTACATGAAGTGCTGGGAGAGCCAGATCCACATGGACATTTGATAGCAGCAGACTTTCTGCAAGCCAAGGAGTAAAGTGTGCTGCTCAGGGAAGTGAGTACAGATTATTACTACAGCAACAGGTCCAAAGTTATCCTGAACAGTGATAGATATTAGGTGGAGGGGTTGCTGTAGACGACTCTGGAAAGATCTTTGCTCAAAGCAAAGCTCCATTGCTGTTCATCATGGAGGTATCTGGGTGTTGCAGGGCTTGAGCAGAGGTTTAAGATGGATGGGAAGAAATGTTCCCCCATGTGATTAAGGAGGATAAAAATATGCCACTTAGTATTCAGGAATAAAAACTTCCTCCCTGAAGTGGTTAGAAGTGTTTGCAACAGGATTTCTTCCGGAGGCCTCTTAAGCATCTAGTTCTAGGTCGAAGTTAGCCAACAGCTCCCTGCTGCTCTCGCTGCCCGTAACTTAACAGCGTGCAGCATCCCTAGCCAAGGCCCCCTCTCCCCCCCGTTCTCCGGCACCATCCCCCCTCGTCCCCCAGGAACCCCGAGTTTGCCGAGGTGCTCGCCCCCTCTCAGGGCGCGGCTGCCCCGGGGCGGGCCAGCCTTACCCAGGCTCTCGAACTTCTCCCGCGCCGTGCGGGCGTAGGCGTCTCGGTCGTGCAGGGCGTAGGGAACGAACAGCACCCGCTTCACCTTCCTGGGAGAAGAGAAGGGAGAGCGCGTTTAGGGCCGCGGAGGTGGGGGCCGGCCCGGGGCAGGCTCCCCCAGCCCCTGCGCCGCGCTTACTCCCCGAGGAAGCTCTTGATGTGCTGCTGGCAGTGGCCCAGATACCCCCCTCCGTGCAGGGTCGAGTTGGAGACCAGCAGCAGGCGCCGCGGGCCCCCCATGCCGCCGCGGGCGCTGCCCTCGGCCCGGCCCGGCCCGGCCCGGCCCGCCCCTTCCTGCCCCGCCGGCGGGCCGCGGGGTGGGGCCCAGCCGCCGCCGCTCCCGCCGCCCCGGCCCGGCCATGCTGGACTTCGCCATCTTTGCCGTTACTTTTTTGTTCATCCTGGTGGGCGCCGTGCTCTACCTCTACCCGGTAATGCTGCCGGCGGCGGGAAGGGTGTGAGGCGGGGGGGGCCCCGGCCCGGCCCGGCCCGGCCCGGCCCCCGGTGCAGGCAGGCAGGCAGGCAGGGCCGCGCTGGGTGCCCGGGGCCGGGGCGGCGGAGGTGGCTGGCCCCTGCCGGAGCGGAGCGCTTGTGGTGCCGGCGTTCCCGGCCCGCCTGGGCCACGCTCCGGCACACCTCCTGTTTGATATGCTAGGGTGAATCCCTCTTAGAAAGGCTTTATCTGCTCACCCTGCACGTGTGCGGATCTCCAGGGCAAAATCTGGCTGTAAGATCTACATTGCAAACCTGACCCTTTAAATCTTTGCGCAGGGATCTTTCATCTAACCAGATGAATAATCCTGGTTTAGCCAGTGGGAGCGGGCACGCAGAGTTGACTGGCTTCATAAGCCTTAGCAGGTTTGAGGTCTGAAGAGGGGGCTTATCTGGCGTTTGTTTAATGTTTTTAAGTAGTGCAGCAGTATTGATGTGGAAAATCCATCTCTCCTGCTGGAAGGCTGCAGGGCTTGTATAAAATCTAAATTCAAGGAGGTTAATGCATTCCCTTTTACTCTCTAGGCATCTAGGCAAGCATCAGGTATCCCTGGGCTGGCTCCAACTGATGAAAAGTAAGTGCTTTTTACATCAGTCAAGTTCAGCCTTGGCAGCAGATGCTGTTCATGACCAATTATCCTCTTTGTGTTCCTCAGGGATGGCAACCTGCCAGATATCATTGCCAGCAGCAGTTTGCATGAGTTCCTGGTGAACCTTCATGAGAAGTATGGCCCACTGGTCTCCTTCTGGTTTGGAAGGCGTCTTGTTGTCAGTCTTGGCTCAATTGATCTCCTGAAACAACATATTAACCCCAACCGGTTGTGTAAGTGTCCTTTGCTTTGTCTTTTAGTTCATTTGTTCCTTCTGGCCTTGCTGGACATCCTTTGTCAAAGGAAGCTGGGATTTCATTCTAAGTAGAAAGAAAGTGAGACTTTGTTTACAGCTGACACGGTGGTTCATTCAGGCATGTCTTTGGTCCTGCTTATTTCACATGAATTTCAGTGACCAAGAGTCACTGCTGTCTAGTGACCATCAAGAAATTAGTAGGCTCGTGTCTTTTATCATCTCCCTACAGGCAAACGTTTATGGAAAGCGTCACGCTTGTTAGCCACTTGAAACAGCAAGGCAAAGATTCTGTAGCAACTTAACGTACATTTTAAAAGCAGCTTGAAATACAGTTTAAGAGGGAGAAATTTGCTAAATTAAGTCTAAAAGGCGCTGTGCTAGTTTTAGGTAGCTCCCCTGTGTGGCTCTGTGTGGAGGTTTTTAAAGTATTATTTGAACAAGTTATTTAACTTTTGGTTTTCTTTGTCACATAGAATTTTGTGCTGAAAACCTCTAGTGATCTTCCAGGCTTGGAAGCGGTCAGTGGTGCTGATATCTGAGCTGATCCTCTTAGTCCTGGGAGGATATTTTAATTTATGGTATAGGTCTCTTAGGTGGGTGTTTTGCTTCCTAAGGTGGTCACAATGTTAACTTAGTTGATATTTGGGTTTAACCTCTTGTTTTTCCAGTTTTCATCATACAAGGTTGAATGAGTTGGTAGTTGCACACCTCTAGGCTCTGTAGGCTGTCTTCAGGCACGGGCAGATATCTCAGCATCACTTTATGCTGAGGTCCTCCTGATGGGTAAGCTTCTCGTACAGTTGCATGACAGACGCTAAAGAATTAGTGATGATCTGGGAAAGGAGTGGGAGTTAACAAAGATCAGCAAGACACAGTTGATAGCAGTGGTACTCCAGAAGGTGGAAACCTACCCTGAAAGATATGAATGCACTCAAGTGTGTTTGGGTGAAACTGAGCAGACAGTCACTTTCTCAACACTCAGAGAAGTGGTGACAGGCCCCTGAGCAGGCATGTTCTCAGAAATGTACTGAATTTGGTAGTACCCAAATACTGGAGAAAAAAAAAATACAGTGCCTGGACTTCAATGCAGGAAATATGACCCAGGCAGTTATAGACTACTCTGGCATCCTGCTATGCTAAGGGCTAAACGCATTTTTTATAACAATGAGGATAAATAGGAAATGCATGCCATACTTCTTTGATAATTAGACTTCTAGACAAGGAAAGTGATAGAACTGGGTTTCTGTCATGGTTTCAGTTCATCATTTGCTTGGACACTGCTTGGATCATCACTGAAGCTGAAGGTAATGTGATATGAGAAGTGAAAGAGGGAGCAAGGCTGGATTGCGTTATGGAAGAGAAATGCTGGGTTGGGGAGGTGAAATACACTTATGTCAGCAGCCTGCCCTGATTGCATCATGCTGGGACCCCTTGTCAACACAGGGAAGCAGAGGGTTGGAGCAAGGAGGTAGGTACCACTGAGGGCTGAGGTAGCAGAAACAGGAAGGGGAGGAGCAAGAGCAGGCTGTATTAATTGCCTGCAGGATGACATTGCCATGAGGAAAAAATAAAAGGATGCATTGATTCATGTGTTTTCTGTAGAGAGAGGAAGGCATCTATGCTATTGCACAAGATGAATGTGAGCTAGAACTGGAATCCTCTGTATGACTCTGACCTCTATACTCAGGCATGTTTTTGAATAAAACAAGTGCAAAGAAAGACTGCCAGTGCTCTCAGAGGAGTGAGGAGCCTGTTGTGCAGGAGGAGCCAGGGAAAGTGTGTTCAACCCAGCAGAAAGAAGAGCTTATGGGGGCATCCTCGTAAAGGCAGCAGCAGCAGGCTTAAGAAGTAGAGTTCTCATGATCTGTACTGAACTCAGACCTGAAAAAGCAGCGATGTTAGTTGTATCAGTGCTTTCCTTTTAACACTGATGCTTGTTAGAAGCTCTCAGACTTGATTAGAGGTGAGGAATCTTACTGATTGTTTTTGCTGGAGCTTTGAGGTATAAGCAACATGTAGTAGCTGAGTGGCTGTAGCAGAACAGTTCTTGTACTGTTTCCTGGTGAGTGGCAATAGGTGTTGTGGTAGCTCTCAGCCACCAGCTGGCTCTGGGAAGCTTGCAGTTTTGTTGGATACCTGGCCTTGCCTTGCCTGTATCTCTTCTGTGCACACAGTGCTGCATGGCAGGAGACATCCCACTGTGGACTGGGTTATATCCAACTCCTGACTCTCCAGCCCCACCTGAAAACGCTTGCCATGTGACAGCTCCTCAGTCTGCTGGTGTACTGGAGGCCAGAGCTGCTCTTTATAGATACCTGCTTGTTGGTTTCCAAGTTTGAGGTGTAGGGTTTGGCTCCAAGTAGAATAGAAGGGTTCTTCTCATCTCATGTGTATGTCACAAGTATGGCCAAACTTCTTGGAGAGAGAAGGCGATAGGTGTTGGTAGTGCACCTCTCACAAAAGCTGTGAAGTTAGACTAATTTCAGTCATAGCTATTAACAGTTTCCCAATGCCAGGAGACTTTTTTCTCATGCTTAAAGCAGTGCTTGAAGTTGGTGTGTTTTCATGGCCTCTTAAAGTTTGCTTGAGATTAATTTGCAAGGAGAATTCAAAGGAAGTAAAACTTTGCTGCTGACACTGGTGATTCCCATGGGAGGCTCTGGGAAGCAGCCCAGGCAGGCAAAGGGTGTGGATGTGAAGAAGGTGGACTAGTTCAGGACTGCCAGGAGCAGTGGGTTCAGAGACCTACTTGGAAAACTCCCATAAGTTGATGTCGCCTTTTGGATTGGGACAGTGAACTTGAAGCACATTGAATGGTGGAGATGGAGCTGTGAGTCCTGGCCTGTTTAAGCAGGACAGCTTCATTGCTGTTCTGTGTGCAGCTTCAGAGGTCCTTTCCATCTCTGCTGTTCAGTGCTACTTGGCATTTGTCTCGACTATCCAGTTATCTTTTCTCCATATTTACTTACAGTGATGTCCAGGTTCTTGGGACAAGAGAGAGAGAACCTCTCAGAGGTTCTTGGGACAAGAGATATTTCCTTATAAGTAGAAGGAACAGTCAACATTTTTATATGCTTCACTAAGAGGACTGACAGTATAACCCTAGAGATGTTTTCAAGACAAGGACAAAGGAAGAAGTCCATGGAAGTGCTGGCAGGACAGAGCTGTGTCTCCAACAGATGGTTTGTGCCTTGTGAAGTCACTAGCCTCCCATAGCTGTGAAAGAATAGTGTTTTCCCAAATACTGTGAAGCGGGGCCTGCCCTCAGCAAAGGGCAGCCTGGGCTCTGCACTCCTGAGTTCACAACAGTGTGTGTATCAGTGGCGTGGGACTACTAGTTTGCACTAAGGACAGGGGAGAAAAAAATGGAGCCCATGGCTGATCCAGCAGTTTTCTTTCATATGCACCAGGAAAACTTTGCAGTTTCTGCAGGTGATGGGGCTCAGTGTCCTCTGGCCTCTCCAAATGCCTCTGCTTGCCAGATTTGTTGTGTGGGCTTTACCACCAGACATGTGTCTTTCTGGCTACCTCAGTACTGTGCGTAGCTCTGCCCAGGCCAGTCAGCAGGGAATTGTGGCAGGCATAGCAGCAGCTGCTTCATGGCAAAGTACCTTGGAAGAGGAATTTTCAGCAGCAGCTAGAGTCACATAACAGCCTACTCTACGTGGAGAGCCACAGGTACCATCTGCTATGCCAAAAGACGCAGGCACATATTCCTTGTCATTTAAAGTGGGAAAGAGTGTGAGATGCAGAGCTTAAAAACATTGGAAGGAAAATTATGTGAGAGAAAAGCACTTAGGAAAGTCTACTATATTCATGCCTCTGGCCTCACTAGCTGCTTTTGTGTCATTAGGTAGTAAGTCCTCTGCAGCTGAGAATGTTCTATCCTTGTATGTTTGTCCAGTAGCATAGTGAGGCCCTGATCTCTGCTGGGAATCCTAGATACATCCACAGTTGGTAGAGTCATATGTGTCTAGCCCAGCTTTGATGTTTTCTGATGCCTCAGAGGTTTCACTCTCCATCTGGGAGAAATAACAGACTGTGATAAACAGTGACAATATCCTTCTTAAAAACTCCCTGATTGCTGCTTCCAAATAGTTCCTTGAAGATTCTGCCAGTTCTGCAAGACCCACATAAATGTTTACAGAAATGGAAAAGCATATGCCGTGCTTTATTGCACGGTTTTGTATTGACACCTAATATACTTTAGCAAATTTAAGTAGAGTCCCCTGGTGGTGAAATTCAGAGTTAAAAATCTAACTGAAGTGAGCCATGGGTACGGAAGATGGAGGATATGTGTTTTTGTCTACTTTGTACGCTGTTGCAAGTGTCTGTGTGGAGGGAGGATGGAAAGTAAGGCAATTAGAAGTAGAAAGTGTTCTGTTTTCTGTAAGAGTTTCTCTGCTGGAGGCAGCCCTGACTGGGAGTAGTAGGTGTTAGTTTGGGAAGAGCTCATCAGCAGGGAACTCACTGTATGCAAGAGAAATCATGCAGGAGCAGTAGGGTGTGAAATGAGGGTTGCTGGGACTGTGAAGCAGGGTAAGTAGTGGGGAAAGCAACCCCTGGCTAAGTCTCTCATGTGAACTGATATGTCTTCAGTGCGTAGCCATGGTCAGGGCAGGAGGGCGCACCAGATGCCAAGGAGGAATGTGCTAGAGGGGCTGCAGATCAAGCTGGAGCAGAAAGGGAAGGGACATGCCATGCTTACTGTTGTCACCAAGTCAGTGGCACAACCAGCTGGAAACAACCTTCCAAGGCATTATTACTAAGAAGTTGGCAGAGCCAGCAGGCAACCTCTGTAGTGGGAGTTAATCACAGGATGGTACCCTGCCACAGAGAAGAGACCTTATGAGATCCCAGTCCCTGCTGATCAAGAGAAGCTTGACACCCCAAAGAGACTGTTCCTGGGGGAAGAAGCCACGGCTTGCTCACTGCCCAGAAGTAGCAGCACCTGATTAAAGAGGTTGCTGTTTTCATCAACTCTGGTGGTGTGACTGCCTGACTTTTGAATGGTGTTTCCTTTATTTGCTTTCAGTGGATCCATTTGAGACAATGCTGAAGTCCCTCTTGAGGTACCAGTCCAGCCTGAATGGGGATACAGGAGAGAGCCACATGAGGAGAAAGTTGTATGAAAATGGTGTGACCAAGTCCTTGCAAAGCAACTTTGCTCTCATCCAGAAGGTGTGTAACTGCCTTTGTACAGCAGAGAAGCCCTGTGTGGCTCACAGGGAAAAGTTTAGTGGAAATGATCACTAGGATAAAGGAGCTGAATTCAAATTAATGCTAGAGCTATAAGCATCCGAGACAGAAAACAGCCTCTACTCATGCAAGCAGTGTGAATATTTAGTTTCTCTTAGCTCCAGTGGGTTAGTGGGAAGGGCTGAACTTGGTGACTTTTTATGCCAAGATACTAGATGCAGTTAAAGATACTGGAGTATCTGAGGTTTAGATTTATTTCCCAGGACGGGAGGGAGGAGCAAGGAACCAGCTACTGGGACCATGAACAGTTGAAGAACTGTTCTGTTGACTCAGTCATATATGACTCATATGAATATGACCAACATATTCAGTCCAGCAGCCAGAATATGATCTGTTTTCCCAGTCTGGAGCTACTGGTATTAAAGGTTTCAAGGCTTCTTTTTGTGACAGAGGGAAAAAGAAAGGAGGACAAAGCTGCCTTGTTGGGGGAAAACCTTGAGAAGAGACAGAAGATGTGAGGCTAAAATGTTACTGTTTAAGTTAACAGTAGAAGGAAACCCTGGAAAGGGTGTAGCTTCATGCCATAGCCATGAAAGTGTGGTCTGCCTTAGGAACTGGGTGGGAATGTGTCCAGGGTATGTTTGGTAAATAGGCTTCTGATATTACTGCCAGCTAATGGTTCCTTCTCTCTCAAGCTGTCAGAAGAGTTGCTAGCCAAATGGCTCTCCCTCCCTGAGGCACAACATGTGCCACTCTGCCAGCACATGCTGGGCTTTGCTATGAAGGCTGTCACACAAACAGCTATGGGCAGCAGCTTTGAAGATGACCGCGAAGTCATCCGATTCCGCAGGCACCATGATGCAGTAAGTGTAATGAAGAGTGAGAAAATACTACATTTTTCCATGCCAACAGAACGCGGCTTGTGTCGGTGTACAGTTTAGTATAAGATACTGTTGCGACTTTTAACATTAAGCTAACATTAAGCTTAAAAGATTGAGGGCTCTGCCTCAGTTGTCCCAAGCTGCAACTATCAGAAAGATCCTACTGCTTTATCCTGCTGTCATTAGTCTAAGGTGATTGTTTCTAAAGGATCTGTGGGAATCAGGAGCCCAGATCCAACCGCAGCTGAGAGGTGTTTCATACCTAAGTCTGGTACACTACAGGGAATTCCAGTGGAAATTCTGCTTTTCGAAGATCTTCTGAAGGCTCTGTGACATCTGAGGATGTCCCAAGCTGTGTCCATATCTGGGCATGTTAAATCTGCTGGTGATAGGGTGGGAAATAAACTCTCCAACTCCCATTCAAGATTCCCATGCCTTTTCGTCTGCAGTTGTAATTACAGTTGTTTCATCTCAACTCAATTTCTTCTATCATAGATGTAATATCTGGAATGGGACATGGTGTCCTAAAGAGGAGACCGGTTCCATATTCACAGGAAGTCTTCATTTTATTTAGTGTTTTAGTTTTCCTGAGTAGGGAAGAATAGAAGAGTCCCAGCAGTCTCAGCCTGTGGTGAGTGATGGTGCCCTTCTCTCTGTCCTTCTTTCAGATCTGGTCGGAGATTGGGAAGGGTTTCTTGGATGGGTCCCTTGACAAAAACATGACTAGGAAGAAGCTCTACGAAGATGGTGGGTTTCTCCCCAAATCACAGTCTTCCTCCCACTCTAATTAATACTTAGGGTTAGGTAGTATATGGAAGCACTTAATTTTCCCAGCTGTCTTGCGTTTTCTGCAGAGTTGGTCACTGTACCTACCATAAGCTACCAGATGTGTCCTCCTTACTCTCGCATAAGATCATTGTTCTGGAGTTGAGCGACAAGCCTGCCATTGTGCAACTCTAGTTCTAGGTCTTGTTATAGGGTCTGTCCAGTCTGGAGACCGATAGAGGATTCTGGGAAGAATCAGGGTGTGCTTGCTCCCTTCCTGTTCTTTCCCCTAGTGTCCACTTTTGACCTCTCTCAGAGTCAGGGACTGGAGGTGCTGTAGCACTTTAGTAATTATAACCCTACAGGCCATGCAGCTAGTATTATCTGGCTCAAATGTTTTTTATAGGGGCTGATTAAATACATTCTCTGGTGGTTCAACACTGTTATTTGACTTCCCCTTAAGTGATTTCAGCTCATAGCATACATCTTGGTTATACCTGTAAGGGTGGCTTTTTTTATAGGCAACCTGTCTTGTTTGTTCTTATATTTTCAACTAAATTGGAGATACCGCCTTCCAAATTGACAGTAACATGTAACAGAGGCTGCTTCTGTAAATGAGCCCAGCAGGGACAGCTGCTCTGAAAATCTGCTTGAGGAGATGGGTTTGCTTCTCTGCAGCACTTGGGATGACCAGGTTTTAAAATAAACATGTCTTTTTGCTTCCAAAGCTCTGATGGAGATGGAATCCACCTTAAGGAGAGTTACAAAGGAGCGCCGAGGCAGATCATTCAACAGGCACATCTTTATAGACACCTTGCTGCAGGGGAGCCTGAGTGACCAGCAGGTCTGTGCAGCTGCTATGTCATTACACAGTAATGGACTTTTGCTAGATGGGCAGGTTGTTACATTGTAGCCTTTGATCAATTTAGGTTTTTGCATCTTAGGTCAGATTTCTTACTAAAACAGGGTTTCTTGTTCTTTTTCCGCTCCTACAATGTCTAATTGCATTAGTCTTTGGTAACTTTCCTTGCCACTGCTTCATTGCTATTTTTATAAATCAAAACTGTGTTAATATTAAGCATTTCTCATGTGCCATTCCAGCGGAAGTTCTGTAGAGAGTTCAATCTGTGTCTCCTAGATGTATTTCTTGCTCTCTGCACTAAAGGGATTTCATGTGCTTGAATGGAGAATATGCCACTTCTTTTTTTATCTTTACAGTCTTATGAACTTCATTCTCTGAAGTAGATTTTATTTCCTAGATTTTGGAAGATACAATGATTTTCTCCTTGGCAGGATGCATAATCACTGCTAACTGTAAGTACAGATTGTAGGTAAATTTCCATCCTCACACTCAGCTGTCTAAAACTGTGTACGATGACATGAGACTTATTCTAGGCTAATAAAAATTTATATTCGTCGTTCTCTTTCTCCTGAGCTACAGATGTATAGAAGAAACTAATTTTTACATCAGGCTTTCAGTGCAGCCTCACAGTTAGTGAGTTGAATCTAAGATGTGGTTGAGAACCTTCCCAGTCTTTTGGGGAACCTTAGGATTTCTTCCCATTGCTTTTTGCCTGCACTCTAACCCCAGCCAACTGATGCTAAATTTGATAAAAAAGCACCAAAAAATGTAAGCCACAAAGATCATGCAGTTAAATAGGCTCTGGCACATGGGAAGGAAGTTAGAGCAGAGTGCTGGAACCTGACTGTCTGCTTTGAATTTCTGGAGGATAGGTGTGTTCCATGTATGGAAGACTTTCAAAGGAGCTATTCTAGGATTTGTGTGAAGGTTCTAGAAAAAACAAAACAAAATAAAACATGAAAATACAAACTGGGTCTCTGTAGAATCTCTTATGGTATCGGGATAGTTATCAGGCCCTGTGTCAGCCAGTGGGACTGGGACTCCAAAGAAAACCTCCCGGGTGCAGCTGGGTGTTAAAGAATGTGGAAAGTAAATTTGATAACTATGATAATCCTCTCCCCAGAGAATATCCTCTCCAAGTATTCCAGGAAGACTGTCATTTTAAGGGGCTGGACTCCTCAGAGATTCCAGATAGTTCTTCTGAATAGACAGTTTGGAGTAGTAGAAACATTTCCTTGTAGCTTTAGGGAAACGGTCTCCTACGCACTCATTTCTTATGCTAGGTTTCTTTTTCACTCTGCTATTGAATATATCTCTTGACTACCTCACAAAATAGTTGTAGGAGAGACGAGTGCTGGCCAATCTGCTGCAAAGAGCTGCGTTGTTCTTGTTGCTCCCTGTCAGGAGCCCCAGACATTGTGGGTCTGGAGCACTCATGTGAGATGTGCTGGGGAAACCCCCTAAATAAGGGAGTTTTCTGATGCTTTGGACAAACCAGCCTTTCACTTGCACTGTTGGTCTAATAACCCAGGTTCTTCAGGGTTTGCTGGGCTGTGTGGTCCCTTCCCCAGCGCTGTGAGGCTGAAAGGCTCAGTTTCCTGCACAGGTCCCTAAGCTCCTTATAGCATCGGAAAGAGAATTTTAGATTGCAGAGTCTCTTGTTACACAGGAATTCAGCTTCCACTCCTGCCACTGTATACAGAATTAGTACAGACTGCTGTGAACAGAGGCCACCCTTTTCTGGGTGAAAAAGTAATGTTGCAAATACAGGAAGTAAGAAAACTGAATGTAGTTTGTAAAGGATTGAATTTTCTGGGTCCAGTCTTGTCGTGATTTCTTCCCCAGTGTGTACCTGGGCAGTCTATTTCCTGACAACCTCAGAAGATGTTCAGCAGAATCTCTACAAGGAGATGGACTGCGTTCTGGGGAAGGGACCAATTACACATGAGAAAATCGAGAAGCTCAGGTAGGTCCCATGGAAGGGACTGCAGAGAAAGGTTGTCACATGTGGTGGGGACGGGGGCTTCATGTACTGGAGACTGATGCCCAGCCTACACTGGGCCAGGAGAAGGCGTCTAAAAACTACTCCCTTTTTTTTTCTGGAAGTGATCAAACTACAGAATGACTTGCGGTCCAGAGAGAATCTGCTGTAGGGCTCCAGGCATGGGAACCGAGCTGCTCTCTTTGGAGTTTCTATAGGAAACCCTTCAGGTTCATCAGCAGAGGAGAGCACAGAATCAGTGCCCTGGCTGCCAGGCTAAACTTTGTTTGCTTACTGTCTTGTTTGGTTTCTGTCCTAGTTTTCCAAAAGTAGAGGTAATCAGTCATGTTAATGGTTGGATTTATGTTAGATATATTTAGAGAGAAAGCATGGAATAATCTTTTCAAAGGGCCATGAGACTAGGGTGATGACTGGTCGACAGTGTGCCTGTATTTTTCACACATCTGTTGGTGCAACTGGGTGCATTTCGTATTAGGACTAGTGTTAGAGTTTCAGTAAGGGAGTATTGAGCATGTGGGTTTCTTGTTGATTCTTGTATGGGTCAGAGGTCCAGGAAAAGGGCTGGTGTGTTTATGCTTTTTAGCAGAGTTAGTTTGGTTTAAAATCTGAAAAAATAGTGGTGAAGAGAGATTTCGGTAACCTTCCCTAGAACCTGATAATGAGATGTAATGCTTCTTGCAAAGATGCTGGGACTGCTTGCCAGAAAAAAAAAAAAAAAAAAAAAAAAATGAAGTGCCTCAGTGTGGCTTGAGACAGCAACAGTAGCAGACTGTGACCCTAAATGCAGCAGGTGGCTCCGCTGTCCTTGCTGCCACAAGGACGTGGACAAGCTTCTCTCCGGGAGGGTTACACTAACCAAGTCTTACTGGTTGCAGATACTGTCGGCAAGTCCTGTGTGAGGCAGTGCGAACAGCAAAGCTTACTCCCATTGCTGCACAGCTGCAGGAGCTGGAGGGCAAAGTTGACCAACATACTATCCCCAAAGAGGTAGGGCAGTACTGGGAGCACTAGGCCTCTCTCCTTTCCTGGAGGGCAGTTTGCTGTTCCCTATTCTTCCTGTTGAGGGGTGAGGCAGGAAGACTGTTTCTTCTGACACTGTTGAGTCTGAGCACCTGCTCAGTCATCTGAAAGTGCAATTTAGCTCAAAGTTTTCTCTGCAGTTCCTCTGTGGGAAAGGCTCTGGGAATTCATGTTCTCTTGCTGAGCAGATTTGCTTCCAGTTCTGGGTCCACCAGGGATGAATCATCTTTTGAATGGGCTTATGGGCTCAATTATGCATAAAACAGCATGACTGCAGACCTGATCATATCACCCACCTTTCCCACACAGAGTGATACCTTCCATTGCAGAGAATGAACACACTGTGTTCATAGTGGTCCTCACTGTACCTCCCATGAGGCCTCATCAAACCCTTCCTAAACAGAGTGTGTGTCCTATACATACATGCCAGGAAGAGTAGAGGAATGGCATCAAACCCTCTAACCACCAACATTTTCAGCATGGGAATTAGAAGTTAATATCCTAATATCTGGGCATGGATTATGGAAATCTGTAAATGAAAATAGCATATTATCTTTTTAATCCACCTAATGAAATGATTAGTCTACAGAATAATCGTCATCCAGCAGGGCTGTCCAGAGGTATCTTTAATTGTGCATTTCTTTCTGCTCTGACATGTTCTAATTTTCTTTGCAGACACTTGTGCTTTATGCTCTTGGTGTGATGCTGCAGGATAGTTCATCTTGGCCATCACCATACAAGTATGTAGAATCAAGACTTTTATTGCAACTAATTCCTTTCCTTTTTTAAATTAATATTCTTTAGATCTTACAGCACAGCCTGTTTGGCTGAAGGGCCTGTCTTAAGCACATTTTGGAGATGAAAGGGAGTCTGTAAGAAAATCAATTTATTAAGGACTTGGTTTGTTTGTCTCCATGGGTGGGATTTTGGGGCAATTCAAGTCATGATCCTCCCATGCTCCAGTCTGCGTGTGTATGTGTGTGCGTGTATGTGTTAGAGTTTAATAAAAACACTTTTGCACACACACACGCAGATTCCCTGGCAAATGCTGGTAAACTATTTTTAAGGTTTTCTGTGAGAGAGAAACAGTGATTTGAATGGCTTCAGAATCACTGCTTCTCATCGTGAAACAATGATGCAAAGGAGGAAATGTCAGTCTGAAGTTTTGTTTTTTCAGGGGAGGGGAAATGCTACCTCATTACTTCTGTCTGTGAAAACAGAACTGGATCCAGGCCAATAATTCAGAGGTTGAAGAAGAAAATTGCTGTAGCTTCCTGTGGCCTCCAGGTGGCAAATATTAACACTGATATCTGACTTAGTTCACTTGGGCTGGGAAAAAAATGTGGGTCAGTTATTCTAGACAGAGAGAAGAGACAGCTGAGATTTAAGAGAAATAATAGAGCCTTTAGAACAGCACTTCTCTCCTGCAAGTGCAGTTCTTACAAAAGGGTCAGGCATTGATGCACTGATCTACGAGCATCTTGGCAGGGATTGCCCCCTAGGATAGGACACACACTCTGTTTAGGAAGGGTTTGCTGAGGCCTTGTGGGAGGGACAGTGAGGACTGCTATGAACACAATGTGTTTATTCCAAGGAGAAGGAGGTTGAGGTTTAGCCTAAGGTAGATGTGTATTTCTGTGATGGAGATAGGAGATCAGTTCTCTGTGACCCTTTTACCTACCTACTGTATAAAATGCTGTGTGTAGCTGTTTGCCCCTCCTTATTTTTTTGCTAGGCAGCTGCATTTTCTTGCCTATTACAACATCGGTAATTTGCCACTTCAGTTCAGGAGGAATGTTACGTTTGATGCTGCTTTTATTGAGGGTCAGCACCCACATGCCCTTTCACCTTGGTAGAAGCAGAGCTTGGATGTTTAGGCAGGGAGCCAAAGGCTTGAAGTAAAAGCAGAAAGGTTTAGCAGAAAGTGAAAGAAAGCTGCCTTCCATCCATCAAATTTCCGGTTTTGTTTTTGGTTTTTTTTTTATATATTTAAATTGAAAGATATTTTATTAGTTCTCCCTGTGGTTAGTTCATTATGGGAATCTTGTTTTAACTCCTGCCAGCCCTGGATAAAAGTTTTCTTACAGCCTCCACCATCCTAACACTGAAAACCACTTTCCCACTTGAATGAGTCACCAGCTTCCCTCCCCCAGCACATACACATACACACACCAGCTGCTTCAAGTGAAGGGTGAGGGGCAAGGAGAAAAGGGAAATATTTTTGGAAGTGGGGAGAAGAAGGATCACAGTGGGAGAGAAAAAGGGAGACAAATCAGATTGTGTGTGCCCTGGAGAGGAATAGAGGGCAGGTAGCAGCATCAGCTCAGATCAAATAGCTCAAGCTAAATACCCACTGCTGAGACGTAATGCATATTAGTTCCAGCCCTATGTCACTAACTCATTTTATCAGCATTTTGACCAAGCTGGGACACAGCTGACCAGCTGGAAACATAGATGGTGTGGATGCACAATTTTCTTCATATATCTGTGTGGAATTACCCAGCATGATTTAGAGAGAGCAAATTAGTGAGATTCTGTGTTTTGTTGCCAGTTTATTACTCGTGTGTGTGCGCACATGTGTCTGGGGAAAGGATTCTGTGCCTGCACAGAAGGCTTCAGTGTGTTTTCTTTCATAGGTTTGACCCAGAGAGATTCAATGAGGAATCATCCGTGAAAAACCTCTCCCTGTTGGGTTTTTCAGGAAGCCAGGAGTGCCCAGAGTTGCGGTGAGCATAGGGAAGGAGGTCTTTGTGTGTCTCTGTGGCAGACAGGAGAGAAGGTGCTTTCAGCCTCTTCCTGTTACTGCTGAGACAATCTGTCCAAGCTGGTAGTTGTCATTTGGCAGATTTACATCATAGCAACGTTTTTATTCTTTTTTCCTGCCTCTTCCCTCAGGTTTGCCTATATGGTAGCTACAGTTCTTCTGAGCGTTCTGGTAAGGAAACTGTATCTCCACCCAGTGAAAGGACAAGTCATGGAGACCAAATATGAGCTGGTAACCTCACCGAAGGAGGAAGCCTGGATAACGGTGTCTAAGAGAAGCTAAGAGCGAGCAAAACACGGGGCTAAAAGTGCCAGCAGTGACATTCAGAGCAAGGGTCTTAGGGGGAATCATGCTGGTGCCACACTGACTCAGCCAAGGAATTTTACATCCAGATTTTGTTACCTTCAATGTTCTTAACCACATACCTCTCTTGGGTACCTTTTCTAACTCAAACGGTAGTCATATTAAAGTAGATTTAATCTGTATGCCTTTTTTACATTTGCTTTTGGATCTCTGGCCAACCCATTCCGAAGGAAGCAAGAAAACCTTGTAGTGGTGTATGTATGAACTATTGGGTGTCAGCTAGTCAAAGACCAGACATCTGGTTAATCCAGCCTCTTTCCAACAGCAGCCAGAGCTGGATAAGAGTGCCTCTCTTTTCCAGTAGAATGCTTCTTCATGGACCCTAGCTAGATAAGACCTTGCAGACACAAGGACAAAGCCTTTCTCTCTATATAGGTATTTTTATTCAAAGTGTCTTTCCTTCCCTTGAGCTACAGCTATAGCTGTCAAGAAGAGCAGATATATCTTGTGAAAAGTATGTGTGAGAGAGAGAAATAAAGTGGGGCAGGAATTGCACTGGTTCTCTTGCTATGTAATCTTGCCATGCTGTGGGGTTGCAAGAGAAAGGGTGACTGAGAAATCCTAGTGAAACAAGAGCAATAAAATTTGGTTTTGGCCCTGAGAAAACAGAAGCATCAGTAATAATATAATTAAATTAAATAAAACCACAGAACAAAGCCCTGCGAAAAGGATTCTCTACTCTGACAGTTCGAAGGGCAGTGTCTAATCTGATCAGCAACAGGAATTGTCAGATGTTTGCAATTCATTCAGCACAGGGTCAGCATGAGACTGGTTATGCAAATACAGAAAAGGGAGAGTGCTGGTTTTATAGGGCTCTGGATTAATGTTGTACTTAAAAGCCTTTCAAAGAATCCTTTTCCTCCAGAATGGGTGCCAGCCAAACCAACATCACATGCCACATGTTCACATGATTTTCCCCACTTCTTTCCTTCCTTTTGGCCATCATAGGCCTGCTCTTGAAAGATTTCTCAGAGTCCCACTGAACAGCTTGCGAGGCAGGAACCTCTTACCCTGTCATCTCATTGGAGTAATTGCCATCTGACTTTCTTTTCAGGTTGTGTTTCTCCCCCCTTTTTTGTCCCTCTCTTAGGTAGGATCACCCTTTATACCTGATATTTATAAGTCTTTTCCCCATAAACCTGACCTCTCTGTTAGCTCCAGTTCCTAGCCCCCTTCCCACCCAAAAGCTGTGTGGCGGTAGGTGAGGTGTTGCTCAGCCTGCGGCTGTATATGCCCAAGTTGCTTTTGTACACACCTACCAATGCACCACAGAGCAGGCCAGGACTGTGTGACTCCCATTAGAGCCACTTTCTATTGCCTCTGCAGATAGGGCACGCATACCTGGTAGCTGCAGTTCCCCCTTCTGTGGACACTGTTCCTTTTACTAGCACCTTCCAGGTCAGGAAATCTGCTGCTTTTATAAAAATGTTTTGGCTCTTGTACTGCTGCTGAGTGCCAGCCTGAATGCAGTCCTGTCAGCTCTTCTGGGGTTAACATCTGATGCCAACCTCTGTGGGCACCAGACAAAGAAAATTCTGCTCTTGGGTTTAATGTGTCAGCTCTGCTTTTGGTGGAGCTGTAGAGATTCAGATCCCTCCCAGTGCAGTTCGTGTTGGGGGAGAAGTGGGACAGAGATGCTGTTCTACCGTTTTTTGTCTGCTGGGCAGAAAAAGGAGGGTTGTGCAGTTCAGCTTGCTGCCTCTATTGCATTGATTTTTATAATGAACTGCAAGAAAGCTCTTGCTAATTTGACCTCCATTTAACTGAAGGTTGGTCACGTCCCCAGATGGCAATTCATGTTAGGCTTTGCTTCACTGCTTATGCAAAATGGCCTGTTTTTCTTGAAGGGTGATGTTTCCTAAACCTCCTGGAGAAATCAGTATGGTAAAGGATTTTACTGTAAAGCATCCCTGGTGTGCAGAGGAGGCAAAATGGAGGCTAAGTTATTGTCTTCTTGGGAAAAAATGGTAGGATAGCACTGTCCTTGTTAGGATCTGAGCAAGGAATAGCTGATTGTCATATAATCAAGTGGCAAAGATCTGCTTTTTGTAGCCATGTTGTAGGAATGAAGTTTTCAGTCACCAGAAAAGCTTCCCAGTTGTAATTGTCCATACTTCTGTTACAGCATTTCTCTGCCTTGCTGGAGCTGAATGGGCCAACTGACCTGCAACAGCCCTTTCCCCAGTTACAGGAATAAAAAATGGGAGTAATCCCATACAATTTGTTGCTCATTTTCTGTCAGCGTGCACAGGTATCGCATCCTGTAAAACTGTGGTCTCAGTCTGGGCCAGTAGCCAAGCATGCTACAGGAGTCTGTGACTGATACGAGGGAAGAATGTGGCCCGAAGTGCTGGAGAAAGCCAATGTTTAGTTTGTGTTTGCACAAAACTGCTGTCAAAAAACCACCCTGACTTGTCAGTTAAAGAAATGTGTTTATCATGGAGGGAAAGAAGGTGGGTAGGACACTCTCAAGCATTTGTTATACCCTGCTCAGAGTGACACAGGTCAGAGCTGCATTGTTTGCTGCAGTCTGTAAATTTCCATTCCTCACTCTATGTGTGTTCATCATTTCAAACAGCCTAACAATGAACATGTAGTGCAACGCTCATCAGCCCAGCTGCGGATCCTTTTTTTGTGCAGCAACCCCCCCTTTTCTGTGGGAGTGTTCATGGATGAGAGCTTTCTCATGAAGTTTTAATGTATTTTGATTGGAAGCTTGAAATACCAGTTTTGTCCCATTTCTCCCTTCACCCCTTGTCCGCCATGCACTGTCAGCTGGTTCTTGTTTGACCTGTTTTCCTAAGGAAGACTTGTGCTCCTGGAGCTTGCCTCCCTCCCCACTTATGTTTGGCCATTTTCCCCTTTCTCTTCTCGTGAGAAGTAACTTCTGAGCCCTTGGGCCAAATGCTGCATTTCACAGGGATTGGGGTTTGAAACCTCAGTACTGTTATGTTCCTACAAAGTTTGTGGGAAAAAAAAAAGATGACTGGGCACGGGGAACCTATGCTAGGCATGTCACAAGACTGCAGCCAAAGCCGAAGCATTGTTAGATGCCAGCCTGGGGAAAAGCCTGAGTCAGTGCCTGCACTGTAGCAGGTAGCCAGTCTCAAGAGTCCAGTCGGTAGAGAATAGGGTTTTGTCGGTCCTGCTGCTCAGACCCACGCACTAAGGACATCAAAGGGATCTCTGGGCCTTATATGGCTGTAACATGGGGATGTGGGCAAGCATTGCAACCTGTGGAAAAAATGCCTTTGTCTAGGAACAAAGCCAAGAGGGGGAGGTTGCTTCTGTAATATAGGGAATTACTGCTTTTTATGCTTTAGATTCGTGCTCTACACCAGAAAGCTGCTTCACAAATTCCACAGGATGGTTTTGAAAAGCATACAGAAAAGCTGTCATTTCATTCCTTGGACTCTTACTGTAGAACAAGCTTCTACAGAGAGCTACAAACTCATGGAAGGTAAGAGGCTAAATATATCTCTGTGCCTATGCAACCTGCTGCTCTCAGAAGCAGGCAGCCAGCACCGGTGCCAGGAGCAGTCAGGCCATTGCTAATTGATTTTCATGGCTGTTTCTGGCTGAGAAAGCCTTGTATTTTTGCCCCTTGTACTGGTAGCAACTGGTGAGACAGTTGTTAACATAACTGAGCAGAGCAGACAGCTTATTGAGCTAGCCTCCCACTACCTCCAAAATATCCATGGTGTTACCTCTAGATTTTAATTAATCTGGGCTGCATATAGAGCCATTATTGCAAATTAGTAATATCCTTCTGTTCCCAGCAGTTTAAGGACTTGCTGGTAATGGCTGTGGCATGCAGCACAGAGTTGAGGGCTGTATGTTTTATTTTCCATCATTAAATGGAAAGGATGGTCTTGGCAACTTCTGTCCTATTTGCTGCAAAAGTAAATGTTGGTTGTTGGGCAGAGTGGACATTTGCTGATCTAAAATACCTTGGCCAGCTCTTGTGCCAGATCCCCCATTAGCTGTTCATTTATGTGAATCTGGGGCTGCTGGCAATCCAGACTGGGAAAATAATCTCTCACCGACATAGTTTGTTCATGAACACTTTGGTACTGCTTAAGTCACAGGTAAGTAGCATTGCCTTCTTGCTCTCTGTCTTGGGTACGGTGCACATGTTTCTCACTGACAGCAGGATATACCTGTAGAATCTCACTCTTCAAAAGGACCATGTATGGCCTTCCCAAGGTTTCTGCTAATGCTGCAGAAGGGGCTCCTTGACATTGACCCTTGGATATACATGTATTCTGATCAGCAGCGTGAAGTCTATAGTTGATAAACTTCATTTTTGTGCTCGGATCCTCTTGTAGATTTGGGGAAAAAGGAATGGGGTAGAGAAGTGCCTTCATGAGAGCATTTTGAGCATACAGGACTTCACCCACTTCCCTACCCCTTTTATCAAGAGTGACAAGGAAGGGGGAAAAGGGCTTCCAGTGACAAGGAGTATCTTCATCACTTGTGGGTTATGCCACCAGGAAGTGGAACTGTTGTAATTACTGTGGCTGCTCTTGCTTCTTTCCACTGGAAATGCTGGAAAATATTCCAGGCATCTTTTTCTGGAGCCTGAGAGTATGTACTCATCCTGGCACTTCTCTCTAGTTGAGCTTAGGACTGGTTTTTAGCAATCACTTTTCAACTAAACAAAAGGCGTGTTTGACATCTCTTAGGATTCAATGCCAGGTTTTTGGCGGTAGCAGACGGGGAAGAGGAACTACCACATGCAGAAAAAAAAAATATGAAGAAAATGTTCCTCACATATGGAGGGTGGGGAAGGAGAGAAGTTAGGGGTTTCCATGGCAACATTCCTTGAAGATAAGTATTTTTAAATCTGTGTGAATTTTAGCATTCAAAACACTGTTGTGTTTCCCACAAAAAGATTTGGGGGAGGACTGGAGTGGAAATAATTTTTTCCCCTACTTCTCAGGTCATTCCTCTTTCTTTTACAGAGATGCCTGAACCCAAGATAAATGAAGTATGTGTGATTGCTCTGATGTTAATCCTCCTGTAAGGAAAAGCCTTGATTCCAGGAGGCAAAAAGCATCAGTCATAGTTCTGTATCTGCACCAACATCTCTGGCAGAAGCACTTCATCATCTCTTTAATGGGAAAAGTAGTTTAAATAGATCAATGCTAGGCCAGTAAAAAGTCACAAGGACAATCTTGCAGGATTCCACATTAAAACTAGTGTAACTTGGAGCAAAATCTTAATTATAATTGACATACAGCTAAGTTATAGTATTGGTGATAAGGTAGCTGAGGCCTTTTGCCAGAGAGGAGAGGATGGAGAACTGAAAGGGCAGAGGAACCAGGTAAAATGTGTCCCTGATGAGTCTCGGTTACATCAACAAGTGAAACATCACTGTGAGTGGGCAAGTGATGGTTCAGTCACACTATTAGGCAGAAAAAGTTTGCTCTCAATATGGGGTATCCATGCTGGGGATACCTCTGAACGTCTCTGGAGCTTCTCTGCTCCGTTCTCTGCAGTGCTGAGCAACTCACGGGCACTGGCACGCTCTGCTCCCACCTCCCTGCTGGCATCCAGGCAGGTCAGCTCTGTCACAAGCCTGGCAGTGATACATCCAATGCTGTGCCTGCTTGGCTGCCAACTTTCTAGTCTCACTAAAAAAGGCTTTTTTTTTTTTTAACAGTCGCTTCCAACTCAGTAATGACTCAGACACTGCAGCAAGGGTAAAGCGATCATCTTCCCCTTCAGAGCTTTACGGCAGAAGGCCCTGGGTATCCTCTCTAAAAGAGAGCTTGCTGGGCCCAGCCATCAGCCAGATTCAGTTCTTTAATTTAACCGATGGAATGAGATGCTCCAGCAATGCTGTGTACCTGCTGGCTCCGGGGCGGTGTTTCAGCAATAGACTGATTCCTGCAAGTACTTTGTGTCCAGAAGCCTTGTGGAGGGGAGGTTGGAAGAGAATGAATAGTCATATATAAATGAGAAGGTGCTATTCACCCATTAAGGCTCTTACCCTGACCAAATTTCCCCAGGCAGTGAATCCGGGAAAGGAACAAAATTGGAACAGTAAGAGAAAACAGTAAGTCATATTTGGCCATTTATCTTTTGGGGTGAGGAAAGGGAAGCAAATAAGGGTGTCTGAAAATGCAAAGTTCATATTGTCAAAGTGTGGAAATTGGCACTTGGAGGCATTGTTTCATATTGGCCAAGACCCTGATGCAGAATAAGCAAGGCTCAGATCTAGCTAAGGTGACTGTTACCCTTGTTAACTTCTCTACATCTTCATTGATAAAGCCTACCAGCAGCATGGAAAAAAGCTGTACTTTTCATGTCACTGTTTGATCCTCTATTGGAAGTCAGATATATTATTTTTAATTCTGGGAATAATACTCATGCCGTGACATCAGCACTGACGTGAAAATGCATACTCTGGCTTTGTAGTTTCTTGGACTGAAAAGCAACTGACTTGCTCATGCGGGGCTTGTTAGCTGTGAGTTATCGATTATATATATAATGTTCATTCCATCCCTTTCTTTAAGACCATTGTGGTATTTTGTGCTACACACTGATGCTCCAGCTCCTTGCATTTGCCTTACAGCTGAACCCCAGGAGATGCAGGAACTCTGCAATACCTAAATAACAGAAGTGCAGCAACTTCGGTCCCTGTTCAGCAGCCTTCAGTATCCAGTATGTCACAAGCTGACTCTTACGCCATCCTTGGGTGCTTGTAAGTCAGCCTGGTGCAGTGACGGGGTTCGGGGCACCATGGGTGTTTAGACAGCAGTAATTGGATTGGTCCTCTGCAGGGGAGCAGATGAACATGTTGTTTGCAACATGTATGAGCATCTTCACATAGCTCTAAGCTTCCACAAATGCAGCTTCCAAGCCAAAAAGCCCTGCCTTCTGGCAGCTTGGCTACCTGTCCTGCCTGGGGAGAAGGATGTAGCAGATTTGTTTCTGAACGTGCCCTGGCTTTGTGAGGTGGCTGTCCTGCTTTTGCAAGCTCTTCCAGGAGTCGGAATGGGGGAAAGGTGCCTTAGGAGGAGAGGAGTGGGCAGGTGAGTTAATGGGAGCTGACAGGAATGCCTGCAAGATTACACCATCGCATATGATGGGAAACCAACTGGACCAATGGTTGCAGCCACCCCGCATTCATTGGTGAGCAAGATATTTGGGAACAGAGAGGGTGTTTGAAACACTTAGTTCTGCTGCTGCACAGAATTCATGTTAAATTT